AGACCAACTAGGAGAGAATTACAGTAATCCATGCAAGAGATTACCAGAGCATGTGGAGCACTTTGGCAGCGTCTTGCGTGAGAAAGGGGTGGATACAGGCGATGTTTTTAAGGTGGAATCAACAGGTTTTAGCAACATTCTGAATATGAGGCACAAAGGTGAGGCCAGGATCAAAGATAACACCAAGGCAACAAGCTTGCAAGGATGGACTGATGCAAGTAACATAACATGCAGGGATATAACATAACATAACATACAGGGATATAATTTCTTATTAGTGGAGTAATAGCTGCTTTATCCAAGGAGATTTCTGACTGCTATTTTGGGGTCAAGAAGGAATTTTCTCCTATTTTGTTGCAAAATTGGAAACACTTTAGTACGGGTGGAGTTGAGAGGGTAAGGAAGACTAGACAGGTTGGGATGGTAGGGGACTCTATTATTAAGAGAGTAGATGGTAATCTGCCACTCTGATCATCTCAACCGGACAGTTTGCGATCGGGTCCGACATGTTGCCGACAGAGTGGAAGGATTATTGGGAGGGGCTGGGGATGAACCAGCTCTCATGGTCCATATTGGTACCAATGACAAAGTCAGAGGAAAATGAAAGGTACTAAAGAATGAGTTCAGGGAACTAGGAAGTAAGCTAAAGGAAAGCACCTCCAAGGTAATATTTTCAGAAATATTACCTGTGCTGCGCACTACAGCAGAAAGGCAGCGGGAGATTAGAGAAGTCAATGCGTGGCTGAAGTCTTGGTGCAGGAAAGAGGGTTTTGGATTTTTAGAGCACTGGGCCGATTTTGTATAGTCGTGTAAAGTTCGGGTTCGTACCGAACATTACGTTTTTTTGGACCCCGGACCCGATCACGGACATATCACTGTATGTTCGGGTTGGAGTTCGGTGTTCGGCGATTTAATGGCGCGTTTTGAAAGGCTGCAGGGCAGCCAATCAACAAGCGTTTGACTCATGTGCCCATAGAAACCATCACAGCCATGCCTACTAATGGCATGGCTGTGATTGGCCAGTGCAGCATGTGATCCAGGCTCTATATATACGCTGGAGTCGTGCAGTGCCGCAAGCACATGAGCTCTTATTAGTGTAGGGAGAGGATGCTGCTGCTTTCAGGGACAGATTAGGAAAGAATTGAGCAAACTAGTACATTAGTGGGGTGCACTTCATATCTGAGAGTCAAACAGAAGCGTCAAATACTGCGGTTACAGCGCAATTGTAAACATTCTTATTTTCTGGGTGCTAATCTGCTAAATAGTAGATTTGGGGCGTGCTCTTCACATCTGAGAGTCAAATACTGCGCTTTACAGCACAGTTTGAAACATACTTATTTTCTGGGTGCTAATCTGCTAAATAGTAAATTGGGGGCGTGCTCTTCATATCTGAGAGTCAAATAGAAGCAGCAAATACTGCGGTTACAGCGCAGTTCTAAAAATTCTAATTGTTTTGGTGCTAAACTGCTAAATAGTAAATTTGGGGCATGCTCTTCATACCCTAGAGTCAAATTGAACCGTCAAATAGTGCTGTGACATTTTAAACATTAACATTTTTTGGCTGCTAAATAGTACATTTGCAGCCTGCGTTGCACTTCATATCTGAGAGTCAAATAGAACCGTCAAATACTGTGGTTACAGCGCAGTTTGACAAATTCAAATATTTTTGGGTGCTAAATAGTACATTTGCGGCCTTCACTTCATATCTGACAGTCAAATAGAACCGTCAAATACCAAAATAACAATATTGTAGTTCGGGGGCAATACCCTCAAAGTCAAACTGAGAGGTCAGTTTATAGGGGAAACTGTTGCCTGGATACAATTCTAAAACAATTTCCATATGTCCTTTGCAGACTTTACATGCTGGAAAAACACAGGTGCCAACTGCTGTGGCTTTCTGCAGTGTGCAGACCGGCACACTGGGGGGTGACCACATACTGGGCCAAGAGGATTTAGGTAATGAAGGGATATTCTCTGATCTGCTCTTCTGGTACATCCCGGTAAATATCCGCTGCCTTCCCCACTAATTTGATGGCCAGGATGGTGACCCAATCACTGGGGTCCACGTCTTGGAGTAGGCACTGGCGCTCAAAGTCTTGTAAAAAGTCATCGATGCCTTCTTCTGCTTCCTTGAAGTCTTTGAATGCATTGTATGGTAGTTTGTGGGCCAGGGTGGTTGTGCTTCCCAGCGCCCTCTATTCCCTTCTTCCTTCATCTGGGTTCATGGAGGTCGCCCTCTGTCTATTGGCAAGGAAAAACCACCAAAAAGGTCCTGCTGACAATCTCCTCTGAGGGTTGCTCTCGGTTATACGCCAGGCACTGTTACACCTCCTTGCACATTACCTCCTCATCTCCGGCCCCTGGCTAGGGTTCGTTGCCTCACTGCGTGCCTGGTCGTCCTCCATGAGCACAGCAGTCAATTCGGCTTTGTTATGCCCACCAGGAATTTTTCCTCTGGCTCCACACAAGTCCTGCAGTATAGGTCGCTTTAGAGCACTATAGTCCATGGGTCTGTTGGCAGGGACATGGGATCCTGCTGCTTGCCACCAATTGAAGTGAGACCTGGGTAGCCGATGGTTATCCCCTTTGATTCGAATAGGTCAGACCCATTTCCCCAGTAACCGGATGGGACACCGTTCCAGGATACAACGTTTGACAATCTTTATTTGGGTACACAGCTTTGCCTCATGATTGGCCCAAGGTTCTCTAGAGTCAACAAAGTGCCTGCGCAACTATAATGTCAACAGCTACTCTGCTACAACAGCTACTCTGAGTTGTGTTTTTTTTTTATATGTCCCAATATTTTGGGGGCTACCTCAATTAAAAAAAATAAATAAATATATATATATATATATATATATATATATGAGAGAGAGAGAGATATATCTCTCCGTGTTGGCTACCTCATCCTCCTTCACCGCCTCCTCAACCTATGGGTCACTTAGTATAAACTAAGTACACATTAGCAGAGCCTTGTAAAGGCCTTTCTCCATGCATCAGGACTGCAAGAAATGCACCGCAGGCCGCAAATGTTTCTTTTTGTTATGTCCCAATATTTTGGGGGCTACCCCAATTAAAAAAAAAAAAAGCTAAAAAAAACCAACAACAAATAAACAGTGTTGGCTACCTCCTCCTCCACTGCCACTTCAATCCTACACCGCCACGGTCACCGCCTCCTCAACCTATGGGTCACTTAGTATAAACTATGTACACAATAGCAGAGTCTTGTGAAGGCTTTTTCTCCATGCATCAGGAGTTGAGCATTTCTCCATGCATCAGGACTGCAAGAAATGCACCGCAGGCCGCAAATGTTTCTTTTTTTATATGTCCTAATATTTTGTTGACTACCTCAATTAAAAAATTTTTATATACATAAAAAACAGTGTAGGCTACCTCCTCCACCGCTGCTTCCACCTACACCGCCTCCTCAAACTATGGGTCACTTAGTATAAACTATGTACACAATAGCAGAGGCTTGTGAAGGTCTTTTCTCCATGCATCAGGAGCAGGGCCGCCATCAGAAATTGTGGGGCGCCTAACACAGCTCAAGGTCTGGGCCCCCGGATGCCCGCCTACAAACCCCGCCCACAGGAATACACGCACACAGACACAAAAGGACACAGACACACACACAGAAAGATACACAAATACTGAAACAGACATGCACACATATAGACACATACACATGCATAAATGGACACTCTAGTCACCCAGACCACTTCAGCTCAATGAAGTGGTCTGGGTGCCAGGTCCCTCAGGTTTTAACCCTGCAGATGCAAACATAGCAGTTTCAGGGAAACTGCTATGTTTACATTGCAGGGTTATGCTTCCATCACGCATAGCGTCTATAGGAAAGCATTGAAAAATGCGCATTTGGATCCGCTGATGTCGGCAGAGGGAGCTGACATTGGCAGGGGAGGAGTGGTCACCAGCGCAGAGGGAGCCCGGCGCTGGATAAAGGTAAGCTGCTGAAGGGGTTTTAGCCCCTTCAGCACCACGGGAGGGGTACCCTGAGGGTGGGGGCACCCTCAGAGCACTATGGTGTCAGGAAAACCACTTTGTTTTCCTGACACTATAGGGATCCTATGTGAAGATACACACACATACTGACACACACATACATACATAAATACATACTGACAAACAGACATACATACAAACTGACATACAGACATACAAACAGATATACATACTGACATGCATACATACACATACATACTGATATACAAACATACAGACACACACACAGACACACACAAATAGATATATACATATAAAGATACATACAGACATATACACACACACACACACACACACACACACATGCATACTGACCAGGCACGCAGTGAGGCAATGAACCCCAGCCAGGGGCCAGAGATGAGGAGGAAGTGCGCAAGTGCGCAGGGCACTATAGTGTCAGGAAAACCACTTTGTTTTCCTGACACTATAGTGATCCTATGTGGAGATACACACACACATACAGTGCCTTGCATTTTACAGAGAGCCACCCTCAGAGGAGATCATCAGCAGGACCTTTTTGGAGGTGCAAGCCTATGTCCTTACCAATAGACAGAGGGTGACCTCCATGAACCCAAATGAAGGAAGCACAACCACCCTGGCCCACAAACTACCATACAATGCCTTCAAAGACTTCAAGGAAGCAGAAGAAGGCATTGATTACTTTTTATAAGACTTTGAGCACCAGTGCCTACTCCAAGACGTGGATCCAAGCAACTGGGTCACCATCCTGGCCAGCAAACTAGTGGGGAAGGCAGCAGATATTTACCAGGCTGTACCAGAAGAGCAGATCAGAGACTATCACTTTATTGCCCAAATCCTCCTGGCCCGGTCACCCCCGTGCAATACCGCCGAAAGTTTAGGGAGACCTGGAAAGGGGAGAAGGACTCCCATGCGGACTGGGCATGCCGCATCACAAGGGCCACCCAGAACTGGCTCAACTCCCATCAAGCCAAGTTCCCGGAGGAGATCACCCAGCTCATCATGCTAGAGCACTTTTTCAATGGGCTCCCCAAAGACAAGGCGACGCATTCGTATGTCATCCATATCAACTTTCAATGCCACTTTCTGTGCCTACCATGGTGACCATGGGTAACAGGGAATCAGGGTTCGATTCCGGAGAGGGAGCCTGAGAAAAGGTTACCACATACAAGGAAGGCAGCAGGCGCGCAAATGACCCACTCCTTTTACAGTCCATGTTCGCTTAACTCTATTGGCTACCTCCTCCTCTTCCACCTACACTGCCATGGTCACCGGCTCTTCAACCTATGGGTCACTTAATATAAACTATGTACACAATAGCAGAGGCTTGTGAAGGCCTTTTCTCCATGCATCAGGACTGCAAGAAATGCACCGCAGGCCGCAAATGTTTCTTTTTTTATATGTCCCAATATTTTAGATATATAAATATATATAATATAATATAGATATATAAATATATATATCTAAAAAAGTGTTGGCTACCTCCTCCACCGCTGCTTCCACCTACACTGCCACGGTCACCGCCTCCTCAACCTATGGGTCACTTAGTATAAACTATGTACACAATAGCAGAGGCTTGTGAAGGTCTTTTCTCCATGCATCAGGAGTTGAGCTCAGTTTAAACAATGAAAGAGAATACCCTGCACTCCAACCTTCTCTCAAATGGATAATTCTGGTGATCCTCCTGACAGCCATGTTTTAGATTTTGATTTATGTTCTTCCAAAGCTAAAATTAAAGATTCCATCTAGTACTATTTTATGGCTCAGCTGTATTTTTAATCTTTGTTATTTTAAGTGATTTCCCTATCCACATTTGTTTGCAGGGCACTTGTCCTACTCTTACCCCCATTTTACTACATTTTGCAGCCCTCTAGCTCTTTTTCAGGACTTTTTAGAGGCATTTTTGTGCCCAAAACTTCGGGTCCCCATTGACGTCAAAGGGGTTCGAGTTTGGGGTTATATTCGGGGTCAAGTCTGATCCCGAACCCGGACTTTTTTTCAAAGTTCGGCCGAACCCGCTGGACCCGAACATCGAGGTGTCCGCTGAACTCTAGTCGTTATGGATTGCACTTAAACGGAAGAGGGTCTACTGTGCTGGGCGATAGGATGGCTAGAAGGTTGGAGGAGTTTTTAAACTAGTAGTAGAGGGGGAGGGTCAAAGCAATCTAGAAAATGGATATAGGATAGAAAGGAGATGGGCTTTAGCTTAGTGTAATGGTGATGGATATGGGGTAGGGGAAAGTTCAGAACAGAGGAGCTATGTAATATTGATGAAAATTCACAAAAAGTACAAATGACTCATGATAATATTAAATGTATGCTTACTAATGCAAGGAACCTACATAACAAAATGGGGGAATTAGAGGCAATAGCATACACTAAACAATATGATATGATAGGCATAATGAAAACATGGTGAGATGAGACACATGATTGGGCAGTTAACTTAAATGGGTACATGTTATTTAGGAAGGATAGGAAAAACAAGAAGGGTGGTGGGGTATGTTTGTACATCAACCATGCGTTAAAGCCAAATCTTAGACATGTGGAGTGTGACAAGGAAAATGTGTAAGCTTTATGGGTAGATATCTGCTTAGGGCAAACTAAGGAAAATCAATTATTGCTTGAGATATGTTATAAACCACCTAATGTATATATAAATGAGGAAGAACAGCTGTTAGAGCAAATTGGAAATCTGCAAATCGGGGTAACACGTTAATTATTGGAGATTTTAATTACCCAGACATAAATCGGGATAAAGTGACTAGTACTTCAGCCAGGGGAATCTGGTTTTTGAATGTGTTAAATGACACCTTTTATGTCACAACTGATACAAGCACCAACTAGAAAGGATGATTGTCTGGATCTCGTTATAACAAACAATGTTGATCTTTTGACCAACATTCAAGTAGGGGAGCATTTGGGAAATAGTGATCACAATATGGTAATTTTTTAAATAAACGCAAAAAAGCAAAAGCACGTGGGGTATACTAAAATGTATAATTTAAAAAAAAAAAAAGCCATTTTCAATAAGATTAGGGCAGCTCTACAACATATCGACTGGCATAAACTCCTTAGTGAAAAAAACTAATATTAGAAAGGTACATTTCTCAGTATGTACCATTGGGTAATAAATATAAAAGAAACACATGGAAATCAATGTGGCTTAGTAGAGAAGTAAAACAAGATATTAAAAATAAGAAAAGAGCATTTAAAGCATTTCAATTGGACAAATCAGAGGCATCCTATATAAGATATAAGGAAGCCAATAATGCTTGCATAAAGGAAATTAAAGTGGCTAAACTAGAAAATGAGAAATTGATAGCCAAAGAATGCAAAACCAACCCCAAAAGTTTTTTCAAGTACATCAATTCTAAAAAAATGAAAGTGTAGGTACACTGGATACAGAGATGGGTCTGTTAGCTAATGAAGACCAGGAAAAGGCAGAAATTTTGAATAATTTTTCTTCAGTATATATTAATAAGGATCCTATGGCAAGAGATATGCAAATGATTGCTGCAAAATGCTTGCAGATAACTTGTGATTGGATGACAAAAGACAAGGTGCTACCCTAAGTGGGGAAATAAGTGAAGCTCTGTATTTAATCTTTCAAGATTCTTTTGTTTCAGGTATTGTACCGGAGGATTGGAGGTATTCAGATGTCGTTCCTATATTTAAAAGGGGTTCAAAATCCTTGCCTGGAAATTATAGACCTGTTAGCTTTACTTCTGTGACTGGGATAATATTTGAAGGGCTATTAAGGGATAACATTCAGGAATTCATTGGGAAGAACTTTGTTATTAGCAATAATCAGCATGGTTTTATGAAACATATGTCATGTCAAACTAACCTAACTGCATTCTATGAAGAAGTAATTAGAAGTATAGATCAGGGTGTTGCAGTGGATGTGATCTACTTGGATTTTGCGAAGGCATTTGATATGGTTTCTCACAATAGGTTAGTCTTCAAACTAAAAGAAATTGGTATAGATGAATATTCTTGTTCTTGGGTAGAACATTGGCTTAAGGATAGAGTACAACGAGTTGTAATTAATAGTACATTTTCAGGCTGGACAAAAGTGGTAAGTGGTGTCACTCAGGGTTCTATTTTGGGACCACTTCTATTTAACATATTTATAAATGATCTTGAAATAGGCATTGAAAGCTGTGTTTCAGTGTTTGCAGATGACACAACCCTTTGTAAAGTAATAAAATGTAAGCAGGATATTGCTTTGCTTTCCTAATTTGTTGCAAAATTGGAAGCAATTCAGACCATGTTTTTTGCCTTCTTTTGGATCAACAGCAAAAACACGTGAGGAATGCTGAACTTGATGGATGCAAGTCTCTTTTCAGCTATAATACATATAGTAAAAACCAAAGGAAAAAAGTTACCTGCGCTCTTTCCACATCCTTATGTATTTTTAAACAAATGGAGGTTTTTAGTTACCTCCAATGGTCATGAGAGGGTATGCACACCTGCCACATCAAGGCAGACCTCATAGGGATGTGGAAAGAGCACAGGTAACTTTTTTTCCTTTGGTTTTTACTATATGTCTTATAGCTGATTAAGAGCTTATCCTATATCTGAGTTTCATATTATGATAAGGTTCAACTGTATTATCCAGTCGGGATCTAAAGTGACATTAAAATCCCATCTCATTATAACAATTCCCTCTGCAAAATCCTCAAGTTTGGCTGCATACCAATCTCGTTTATGATTGTGGAGATACAGATTAGAAAAGGTATAAACCTGATTAGTGAAAAAAACTTACAATACTGGAGCGCTTAATATACACAGTTATACAGGGGTAAAGTAGAGTTATTTAACAATTGTGTATTACACAGTATCTCTTTAATTGCCTGCTACCACACTTCAAAGTGATCCCTTCACCACATACAAAAAATAGAAATTATAGTGTTAAGAAGTGGAGCAATGTTAAAGCTAAAGGACAAAACCCCTTTCCCACATGCAATCAAGTAATAAAAAAATAAATTTATACTTATATTGCTTGTTGCTTAATATCCCAATTCAAGCTCAGCATATATGGGAAAAAATATATGAAAAGGATCATAGAACAGATCTGCATGGATCAGTGAATATTATCGAATTCTATAAACATTGAATTAAATCAGCTTAATTAGCTGGATTAAAGTTTATTACAGTATTACCACAAATTAAAAACAGAAGATAATAATCAATACATAACAGGCTATAAAAAGTAATAAAAGAATGATGATAATAAAAACATAAAATACACCTAAATTCACTGTTTAGTTGACATATGTTTAGCAGATTACTGCTTAATTGATGCAACAGTGAAGCCAAACACTATCAAAATGTATAGCAGGTTACTGCTTACTAGATGTGGTGGTGAGTATAACGGTGTAAATCCGTTTACCCACAAACAGGTTTTCCCGCACTGGGAGATGTCTCCTGTACCAGAAGATGGCTGATCGTCTGTGGGGTGCCTTTTTATTTTGTCCGGATGGCGTCTGGTCTTGCTTCTGCTTTTTTGAAACGCCCGGCTTCTGAATAGGCTCTGCCCCCTTATTGACGTACTTCCGTATCTACGCGTTTCTCCGTTCACAGACGGCTTCGGAAGCACTTCACGTCCTGACGGAGCCGTCTGTGAATGGAGAAACGCGTAGATACAGAAGTACGTCAATAAGGGGGCAGAGCCTATTCAGAAGCCGGGCGTTTCAAAAAAGCAGAAGCAAGACCAGACGCCATCCGGACAAAATAAAAAGGCACCCCACAGACGATCAGCCATCTTCTGGTACAGGAGACATCTCCCAGTGCGGGAAAACCTGTTTGTGGGTAAACGGATTAACACCGTTATACTCACCACCACATCTAGTAAGCAGTAACCTGCTATACATTTTGATAGTGTTTGGCTTCACTGTTGCATCAATTAAGCAGTAATCTGCTAAACATATGTCAACTAAACAGGGAATTTAGGTGTATTTTATGTTTTTATTATTATCATTCTTTTATTACTTTTTATAGCCTGTTATGTATTGATTATTATCTTCTGTTTTTAATTTGTGGTAATACTGTAATAAACTTTCATCCAGCTAATTAAGCTGATTTAATTCAATGTTTATAGAATTCGATAATATTCACTGATCCATGCAGATCTGTTCTATGATCCTTTTCATATATTTTTTCCCATATATGCTGAGC